ATTTTTTGTTGAATAGAAAGTTCAAAAGAACAGCATTTATTTGAAGTAGATGATATGATATATGACATGATACTGTCTCTTTTGATCAATTTAATGTAACCCTGCTGAATAAATGTATTGATTTCTTTAAAATAATAATAAAAAATCTTACTGACCCCAAACTTTTGAGTCAAGAGTATCTGAGAGGGCTTTACAAAACGTGCGAAAGTATGATGTGTGTTCACCTGTCAGTGTATCATACAAATGTAACCCAGCTGGCACATTCTTAGCCAATGTCAATCCCATGTCTCCTTCCCAAAGATCTTGCATCTATGAAATCAAGGTCAAAGGTCAGAGAAAACTCAACATATTCTGTCAGATCTAATCTATTTGGACATTCATCTACATTCGGTCGTACGGTTACTGAAAAATTGCAGTGTGCGAGCACAGCTAAGGAAGAAGGACTAGAAACAGATTAGTGATGTCACCTGGTAGATGGCCAATCGCAGGTCTCCCACAGTCTTTCTGCGGTCAAAGGTGACAGTGATGATGGAGTCTTCGTTTGGAGATACGGGGTGCAGGGCTCCGTTTTGCCAGTGGTAATGAGGAGCCAAATGCAGCCGCAGTTCAATGCTGTTGCTGCTGGCATCAAACTCAGCTCTACAAGAGACAGATTACTTTAAAATTGCATAAAATACCCAATGCTGATGGTGTGAGCATTTATGAGTGTATATGAAGCTACCTTCTCTGCTGAAGTCTTGCATTCTCCTCTTGTACCATGTTCACTGGGTGAGGAGGCACTTTGTACGCAGGGTTTCCTATGGCTGTTTAAAAAGATACACAAAAATAGCCTTTTGTTTAATCATATTGCAGTATTTATGACTGAAAAAAAATGGATTTGCATCACATATGCACACACAGGGGCCTAAATTAACACTTGGCAAGCACTAAATGCAAGTCAAATTGACTTTTGTTTCTTGTGTGGTTAAAACAAAAAAAAGGCCATCGACAGGTGTGACAAAGAGTTAATGCTGGACCCTGTGCACATACACACAGCATACCCTCTGGAGGTCTTTTCATAGCGGTCTTCCTGTAAAAGAGCATGTAGGCACTCTCTTTTCCCTGAAACTGCTTCTTTATGTCCTTCACCGTAATGGCCGTCACAGTAGAGTCATTCAGGTCAAACCAATGGCATCCGTCAGTGGCTTCAGTGTCTCCTGCTGTTTCAGGCTCTATGTTCTCTGTGCTGTTATTGGCTGAAGCTGAACTGACTGGTTCTGTTGGACTAGGTTCTGTTGTTGCAGGAACAGCAGCTTTCAGAGCTACATGGGTTCCATTGGAGACCAGCATGAACACTTCAGGGTGGTTCTGAAGAAACTGAAGGATGAAAAAATGGTCATACAACACTTTCCTGCAGTTACACCATTCTAGCATTTGAACTATAAAAGTAAAATTATATATTGCAGCACTGCTAATATTATTGGACTGTATGTTAAATTGCATATATATTCTACTAATTGTAATATTCCAATAAGTCACTGTGGATAAACATACAATACCATTCAAAAACATTTTTTTATGTTTTTGAAAGAAGTCTCTTATGTTCACCAAGGCT